AAAATAGCAAAAAATATATCGATATTGGCAAGGGTTAGATATATTTTGGACGGGAAAGCACTACGCATTTTGTATTCTTCATTGATTTTACCATACTTAGAGTATGGCGTTGAAAACTGGGGAAACACATACAAAAGCTCACTTCAACCATTGTATATATTACAAAAAAGAGCGATAAGAATTGTGCATAAGATGGGTTATAGGGATCACACCAATGTAGCTTTCATACAGTCTAAATTGTTAAATTTTTTTTGATTTAGTGGGATACAAGACTGCTGTGTTTATGTATAAAGCCAGGAACAATTTATTACCTGGTGGAATTCAAAAACTATTTAATGAAAGGGAAGGGGTATATAATTTTAGGGGTTAGTTAAATTTTAAAATTCATGCTATACGTACAACCAAAAAAAGATTTTGTATTTCCATAAGTGGGGTAAAACTATGGAATCATTTAAAACTATGGAATCATTTAAGTGTGGACATAAAAAATAGTAATAGAATTGATGAGTTTAAACATAAATATAAAGGTATGTGTCAATCAAGATATATGCAAGAACAGGTTTAATGATTAATTAGGTGGAACATTGTGGGTGTGGTGTAAGAATGTTAACACTATGTAATAATTCTTTAGTATATTACTTGTGTGGTGTAGAAGACAATTATCTAAGAATGTAATTATGTAAGAATGTTAACAATCTGTAATAATTTTTTAGTATATTATTTGTGTGGTGTAGAACAATATTATCTATGTAGAGATACTGCTTGCAAACCAATGATGGTAAGATGATGTTATGGGGTAGGACTAGATAAGTCTAACTTCTTCCTACTCCGTTCAAGCATGTACTAGGTATAAGCAAATTGATAATGGATTACCATTTGTGGATATATGTGAAATTATGTGTGTTGACATATCAACTATCTTTACATGCTTGAAAGAATAAAATCAATCAATCAATCAATCATTAGAATTTTCAGCAAAGTCTGGTTCTCTCTAGGGCTGAGAGGGAAACTGCTCGAACTACAATTACAGACAAACAATTACAAAGAAGACACTGTACACTTATATGTCTGTAAATGGACCATTCGATTCTCTGTTATTTCCAGAAATTATATCAAATCCTCCAACTTCTCTTAATCTGCAGTACTTAGAGGAAGCACCGCCTGGTTTCATGCTGCTCAATTAAAACTTCAACTCAGAAGTGCTTGCTTTAGAGTTAATGTGATATTAATGATCACGTTTACACTTTGACTGCAGTTAAACAGTTAACATTAACAGAACTCACAGAGCTGCTGACGAGGGTGTCCTCATATGGGTGCCAGCTGACATCCCTCACACAGGCGTCATGGCCTGACAGTCTGGAAACCACGCATCCTGTCAGTACGTCATAAACTGCACACAGAAAGAATTCAACTGATGCAGCTTTTTGGAGATGTGTGCCATCTGTCAAGCACTTAGGCAGTTAACAGTTAAGTGGTTCACTGTCAATGCCATCTTATTTATAGAGTACCTTTGGTATACAAGGAATTTCAAAGTGCTTTATGCAGTAAAACAGAATCAGACAATCACACATCACAAAATATAAAATACAGAAGTTAAAAGACAAGTAAAACAAGTATTAGGAGGTTTACATACTAACAGCGGCACTCACTGATAATTTTTCCAGTAGAGCAGCCAGAGTAGATGAATCTCTGCCCAGTGCTGAACTCTGGGGAGAAGCGGCAGCGGATGAGAGTGTGCAGAACACCGTGGCCCCGGTACGTCATCACTGAGGTGTCGCCTGTTAGTTTGTGTCTCTTCAGGGCTAAAAAGGCACCAAAGTTCCAGAAGGTAAAACAAACCCAACACTGTCAAACAGAAATGATTTTTTTTCTTTTGCAGTCCCAAAAAGTAATCATATCTGACTGAATTTTCCAAGCGTCATCCTCTCACCTCCTCCCTCCATTCTCTTTCTTTGGTTGTTCATATATTTATAAGGGACACTGCACATTAATCAACACTGATGTTAACAACATCAGTAAAATGTGCCAGGATTACTTTGACAGCTAAATTGCACCCGAAGACCCAACCTAATCAAAAACAGCACATAATAAAAACATTTACATGTTAACAATACAATCAATACAAGACATTACAAACAAGTTAATCCATCAAAAATTAGTTCATTAATGAGTACATGTCTGAGTCCCATTTTACATTCAGTTTTAAAAGTGTTGTATGATGTGCAGCTCCTTATTTCCATCGGTACAGCATTCCAGAGAGGTGCTCTCACAGAAAAGGCTGATTGTCCAGTTTTACTGCATCTAAAGGGAACAATACAGTCTCTTCTGGAAACTGTGCTTGTCATTCTGGATACATAATCCTTAAGTTTAATGATGACTCAGTGGAGGAGGTGCCAGGTCATGAAGAATTTTGAAAAAAAAAAAAAGATATAAATTACATACTTTCTAAAACCTTCTATAACCAATAAATGATCTATCTGAATGATACAACAATGGTGGTAATGATAAGGTTTGTTGTAAAGCAGTTTAAGTGTTTGTTTATAGCGTGACTATTGGCTTGAATATGGAGACACCAATTTGGGTTCAACTTGAGAAAATAGCTAAGGTGTATGAGGATCATTGCCTGACTAAACAATTTTGCAGCATGTAATGTTAGATAAGCCAAGATAAGTCTAAAAAGTTAGACATAGAAGATTGAACTATTTTAGTAACTCTTTAAATAGCTTCTTAAAAGTCAAAGCTGAGTCTAAATTAACTCCAAAAAAATTTAAAATTATCAAATTTTTCTCCAAGTAATATTACATCAGGTCAGTGTGTCATTTGTAAATTAATCCTGGAATATCACTTGATGATGGACCCAGTCTTGTGTCAAGATCCGTTTCCCCCTGTTAAAACTGTTTCTAGTAGCGCCGCCTGGGTGATTATGGTTGAGATAAGGTTACGGTTCAGGTTAGGGTGGGGATTTTCAAAGTGTGGGGAGATGAGCCTCGGAGAATATCGTGATCACTGTTGGTGTAGCCTCCTGTATGTTCCACCCAGACATAACAGTAGGTTTCAAAAATACACATATGCATCTTTTAAACAAACACTTTTGCAACACAATTCCACTCTCAAGCACTATTACACATTACTAAAAATATTTTAAATTAAAAAATCCATATCCGGTGTTCTCCCCCATTCACACTTAATCTGTGGGCTACTCTTGTGTAAAACTATTTACCAATTAATCCTTCACAGTGCAATCACAAAATAAAAAAAGACAACAGTTTTACTAAAATAACTTCAATTAGCCCTAGGTAGGTCAGAAAGAAAGGTGGGATGAAGCAAGTCACGAGCAAGGAGGAGATATAGAGAGTATAAAAGCAATGTCTCCAGCTCTGTCATTCTGCTATATAGACTGGAGACAGATGCCACTGTGGTGTTTTTGATTTCTTTCCCCAGTAAATCTTATACTTTGCAACAGACTGCTTTTGAGTGATTTTTGGCAGCAGACAGAGAACTGTGTGGGTGAGATCTGGACCCTTACTGGCCCAGGGAAAAGTTTTCCCATCAAAATATTGATGATGATTAAATCTTTTGAAAAAAGGTGTCCATCCCTCCAGTGGATGGCGCCAAACGTCGATGGCTGCCTTGGTCACACGAACTCTCTTGTGTGTTTGTTTTTCTTTGTTTTGTCAGTCTTTTGCAACCCATCCCAGATTACTTTTACCAGAGAAGAACTGTTAAATATAAGACAACTCACACAAACTACCTTTCTCCATTTTTTTGTGAACAAAGAATGCTGTGTGGACATTGTGACTGGAGGTGCAGCTGCAATATACGGGACCTGGAAAAAATGGCAATGGGGTAATATGTCTGTGCAGATTCTCAGTCATCCAGGTCATAGTAAGCTGAAAAAACTGGACTAGATTTCTAGGTTGAAGACATTTCACCTCTCATCCAAGAGGCTTCATCAGTTCTGACTGACTGGTGTTGAGCCGGAAATATTTAAATCTCTCCTGTTCAGTCAGCGGCAGCAAGTTCCAGTAGCTCTGTCCTCTTTTGTGTTTTTTTTCTGTCTGTGCTTTCTGAATTTGTCTACCAAGATCGGTGTGTGGTATCTGTTCTTATGGTGTCTTGTTGCTTGCTCTCTGTTGTTTTTGTCCCTTACTGCTGCTGGAATACTGGAATTTCCCCACTGTGGGATCAGTAAAGTTCTAATCTACCCTACCCTTTATGCTTCACAGAGACTTGTCTCAATGACGCCATCACAGACAGCGCAATACAAGTACCGGGCTTCCAGGTGTACAGAGTGGATCGTGTAACTGAGCTGTCCGGGAAGACTAGAGGAGGTGGAATCCGTCACTAGATAGATGAAGGTTGGTGCACAGATGTCACAGTGCTACAGAGGACATGTAACACAGACTTAGACTCTTTTTATCAATTGCAAATCCTTCTATTCTCCTCGAGAATTTTTGAGCTTCATTGTGGTTGCTGACTATTTACAACCGAACACCCATGCCAGCGCACTACAGCTCCTGGCCAAACAGATAACTAACAATAATTAATAATAATAGTTTATTTGTTTATATAACGCTTTACAACACCCAATGGTGCTCAAACTGCTTCACAGCAGAACATTTTAAGACAAAATAACAAAAAGGAAATATTAAAACTAGACAACTGCATTTTCTGAAAAATCACCCTGAATATGCTGATAATTCTGACACCTGAATGCTTTTGCTAGCTGCAAGTATGCAGAAGTAAAATTTTCCCATTCATTTGAATTGGTCAAGATTTTCAAAATAAAGCTAAATAAATTAAAAATATGAATTTCAGAAAAATTCTGAATAGAAGCATGAATGTACTTGAAGAGCTGAACATTTTGATAGCTGAAACAGCTGAAAGTATGCTGAAGTAGAATTTCCCCATTCATTTGGATGGAGCAAGATTTTCAAAATAAAGCTAAATATTTTAAAAGGTATGACGTTTAGAAAATGTTTTAAGAAAAGCATGAATGTCCTTGAAGAGCTGAACATTTTAATACCTGAAATAGGTGAAAGTATGCTGAAGTAGAATATTCCCATTCATTTGAATGGGGCAAGACTTTGAAATATATAGCTTTATTTTGAAAGTTATAAAGTTTAGAAAAATCCTGAAGAGAAGCATGAATGTCCTTGAGGAGGTCAACATTTTGATACTTGAAACAGCTGAAATTATGCTGAAGATGAATTTTCCCATTCATTTGAATGGAGCAATATTTTCAAAATAAAGCTAAATATTTCAAAAGTATGAAGTTTAGAAAAGTTTTCAAGAGAAGCATGAATATCCTTGAAGAGCTGCACATTTTGATAGCTGAAACTATGCTGAAGTAGAATTTTCCCATTCATTTGAATGGGGCAAGATTTTCCAAATAGAGCTAAATATTTTAAAAGTATCACGTTTAGAAAACTTCTGAATAGAAGCATGAATGTCCTTGAAGAGTTGAACATTTTCACAGCTGAAATAGCTGAAAGTATGCTGAAGTAAAAATTTCTCCATTCATTTGAATGGGGCAAGATTTTCAAAATAAAGCTAAATATTTCAAATGTATGAAGTTTAGAAAACTTCTGAATAGAAGC